CACACACACAGACACACACACACACAGACACACACACACACTCACAGGCACACACACACAAACACACACACACACAAACACACAGACACACACTCACAGACACACACACACAGACACAGACACACACTCACAGACACACACACACACACACGAGAACAAATTATTATATTTTAATAAAAAACAATGTCCACCCAGCCTCCTACCTGGAGTGCTGGCGTGGACTTTTCCCTGGGGTCCAGTGGGGCAGGCGCCTCTCTCCAGCTGAGCTGCGGCGAGGGAGCTCTCTGCTGTCTGCTCCCTGCTCCCTCTCGCCGCGAGGGCTGTCTGCTGGAGCTGGGAGCCGGAATATGACGTCATATTCCGGCTCCCGGCATCAGCGCGCGGCGAGAGGAAGCAGGGAGCAAACACCAGAGAGTTCCCTCGCCGCGGCTGAGCTGCAGAGGGGGGGGGGATCCATCACCTCTTGCCCCCCCATGACAGGGGCAAGATGTGAGTGGGGCGCTGAGTGCCTGCAGGAACAGCGTTCCTGCTCAAAAAAAAGTGCAGGAACGCTGTTCCTGCAGGACTCAAACCACAGGCGTGCCACGGGGATTAGGGTGTGCCCAGGCACACCCGGCACACCCCGTGCGCACGCCTATGAACAGGATCTCTGATCCCTGCTATCAGGTACCTTATGACTGAGCTTCCTCAGTGATATTTCCCAACTGTCAGCCAGATACTGGATTACATGATAACTAACTCGATTCACATTGTACCCAAACAATGACTAGACTGAGTTTAGGGATAAGACAATACAGGTTTATTGAACAACAGGTAGAGTTGAGCGAGCCCGGACTGTAAAGTTCGGGTTCATACCGAACATTACGGTTTTTGGACCCCGGACCCGAACACGGACATTTAATGGCGCATTTTCAAAGGCTGCAGGGCAGCCAATCAACAAGCGTTTGACTCATGTGCCCTTAGAAGCCATCACATCCATGCCTACTAATGGCATGGCTGTTATTGTCCAGTGCAGCATGTGACCCAACCTCTATATATAAGCTGGAGTCGCGTAGCGCCGCACGCACATGAGCTCTTATTAGTGTAGGGAGAGGATGCTGCAGCTGTGAGGGACAGCTTAGGAAAGAATTCTGCAAACTAGTACATTAGTGGGGTGCACTTCATATCTGAGAGTCAAATGAAGCTTCAAATACCGTGGTTACATTGGAGTTTTTAAAAGTAATTGTTTTGGGTGCTAAATAGTACATTAGTGGGATAGTACATTAGTGGGGTGCACTTCATATCTGAGAGTCAAATAGAATCGTCAAATACTGCTGTCACATTGCAGTTTTAAAACTTAACATTTTTTCGGTGCTAAAAAGTACATCAGTAGGGTGCACTTCATATCTGAGAGTCAAATAGAAGCATCAAATACTGCTGTCACATTGCAGTTTTAAAACTTAAAATTTTTTGGGTGCTAAAAAGTACATTAGTGGGATGCACTTCATATCTGAGAGTCAAATAGAAGTGTCAAATACTGCTGTCACATTGCAGTTTTGAAACTTAAAATTTTTTGGGTGCTAAACTGCTAAATAGTATTTTAATGGGGTGCACTTCATATCTGAGAGTCAAACAGAAGCGTCAAATAGCGCGCTTACTGCACAGTGGTAAACATTCTAATTGTTTTGCTGCTAATCTGCTAAATAGTAAATTTTGGGCCTGCTCTTCATATCTGAGAGTCAAATCGAAGCATCTAATAGTGTACTTACAGTGCAGTTGTAAACATTCTAATTTTCTGGGTGCTAATCTGCTATATATTACATTTTGGAGCGTGCATTTCATACCTGAGAGTCAAATAGAAGCGTCTAATAGTGTGCTTACAGCGCAGTGGTAAACATCCTAATTGTTTTGCTGCTAATCTGCTAAATAGTACATTTTGGGGCCTGCTCTTCATATCTGAGAGTCAAATAGAAGTGTCTAATAGTGTGCTTACAGCACAGTGGTAAACATTCTAATTGTTTTGCTGCTAATCTGCTAAATAGTACTTTTTGGGGCCTGCTCTTCATATCTGAGAGTCAAATAGAAGCGTCTAATAGTGTGCTTACAGCGCAGTGGTAGACATCCTAATTGTTTTGCTGCTAATCTGCTAAATAGTACATTTTGGGGCCTGCTCTTCATATCTGAGAGTCAAATAGAAGCGTCTAATAGTGTGCTTACAGTGCAGTGGTAAACATTCTAATTGTTTTGCTGGTAATCTGCTAAATAGTACATTTTGGGGCCTGCTCTTCATTTCTGAGAGTCAAATAGAAGCGTAACTTTGATTCGAATTTAATACATCGGTCACTTGTAATATTGTTTTATACCTACAACACTTGTTACACAGATCTAAGTGATAGAAAACAGATTGATATTTTCTATACTAGAAACTACCAGATAACAAGCTGCTATACTTAAACCAGTGATCAATAGCTAGAGGTACTTCAACAATATTGTAATTCTGGGGCAATACCCTCACAAGTCAAACTGAGAGGTCAGTTTATAGGGAAAACTGTTGCCTGGATACAATTCTAAAACAATTTCCATATGTCCTTTGCAGACATGACATGCTGGAAAAACACAGGTGCCAACTGCTGTGGCTTTCTGCAGTGTGCATACCGGCAAGGAGGGCAGGGTTGAGGAGTGGGTGGAAGATGATGTGGAGGATGATGAGGTCCTAGACTCCACATGGAATCAAGGTCATGCGAGTGACGTGTGCAGTTTGGAGGAAGAGGCGCTGGTCGCACACAGGCACCAGCACAGCATAAGAGGGAGCAGGGTGCAAAAGCGGAGCGGCTGTCCCCAAGCGCTCGTCGGCATGTATTATCTTTACAATTCCCACAGTTATCCAAGTAGCAGTTGAAGCGATAAAAAGAACCATGACAGATTTAACGAGCCGTTCGCAGTTTCGCAGTCTGGTGACCGGAACCCAGACACTGTCTGGGCGGGGGTCGGATAACCAGGACCCAGTATGCCTGATGTATAGGTTAGAAGTCACAGTGTGGAATGGATTAGCAGGGTCTGGTGCAGGGTAAACGCACGCCCCCTGGTGTTGAGCACCAGTGTTTGTGCGGCCACATACCCTGATGGAGCTTTAGTAAAAAGAGTACTGGATATCAGAAGCCATCACCAGACTGATCTGTGTTACGGTTACCTCCAGGCTAGCTGGAAGCTGGACCGCTTGGATGGTATGGATACCAAAGGCAGAGAAGGCGGAGAGTCACTTCGGTAGTTATTCCATACGAATCCTGTAAATGTAGAGCAATCCCACTAGCTATCATACAGCTAGGATACCCTTTTCCCCACAAAACGAGTCGAGGCTGCGATTTGAAAGTCAAGCAAGAACTGGGTTTAATGACAAACAGGGGACCATATTTATGCAAAATCTCAGGTCCAGGGACAGCCCCCTCTGGACCTGATGGGATACAGGGACAATACAAGGGGGGACCAATAGAAATGCAATGCATCATTTGAAATCGTCACTGCCCAGCTTGGAGATAATGAATCCAATGGTTATGACAATACAATTATCTCCACGCGCCCACAAACCCCACGTGTTTTTGCCACATAGAAAACAGAATAAAAATACATAACTCAAACAGTTTTATCCATAATTCGTGTCTTCCACCATTCATTACATAGCCCCGGTTGAGGTGAAACAATTAACCGAAGAGCGCTCAGAACCCACGAATGGTACGATTAATTTCCTTGAAACAAAGTCTGTTCGTGTCTTTGGGTTCCGAGCGTGTGATGGCAGCCATGTTTTGAGGTAGACTAATAGGCTGCGGGACTTCACTCTCAAACTTGTGGAACGGGTGAACCGGCTAGAAGTCTGCACGAATCCCCGCTCCGTCGCTGGATGTCTCCATTGTTCGGGAGGCGAATGAAGACTGCCGGGAGGAGGCACTTAACCTGCGGTTAACCGCAGAAACCAACATTCTAATTGGAGCCACACGCCAGGCTGTAAGTGGCCCTTGTCCAGTACCTGTTCGGTAGTTAGAGTATTGGGCGATGGGGCACGAACGTGAATGCCCTGCTGCCGTCAATTAGGTTGCGGTTAACCGCAGACCGCAACTCTCTGGGCGATTAAGTGGAGACACACTCCGCTCGTAGGGTGGTCGGCCATTCGGTTGTTCCAGGGGTGACCGGGGTTAAGTGGTGGCACACGCCAAGATTCTGGTGGTCTGCCGTTTTTATAACGAATAGACAGCAGACCCGTAGTTCAGGAGTTAGGTACCCAAATCACAGTACTGTAGTCAAACTCTGGGTGAAATGCATCAATGAATAACATTCGCTTCTGAGTTGTAGCGATCCAATAGCAGTAACCAATAGTTTGTAACAATCTGCAACTTGGAATAGGACGTGACATTCACTGTAGCGGCTGTGCGCGCTTTCGCATTCTCACCCTGCTGCTGCTTGCCTGTCTGCGCTGCAGCGTAACTTTGGCCTTCCAGCTCACTGCCTCATATTCGACATGCCTACAAGGTGGAACTCCACCTTGCACATGCTGGAGAGACCGTATGAGCAGCAGCAGGCGATAGTGGAGTTTCAGCTGCAGCATGCATGGGTCAGTGGCTCTGCACCAGACTTCCCTCCAATTGATCAGAATTAAAGGATTTCAAGTGAACTCCTTACAATTACAGGGCCTCTAAAGAGTTCTGTATTTTTATTTGTCGTCACTACCTTCCAACGTCGGGAGTGGGTCATTTGCGCGCTGCTGCCTTCCTTGCATGTGATAGCCGTTTGTCAGGGTCCTTGTACGGAATCAAGCCCTGATTCCCTGTAACCCGTGGTCACCATGGTAGGCGCAGTCAATGGCATCGAAAGTTGATATGGATTGACATACAAATGCGTTGTCGCCATCTCATTGGGGAGCACATTTAAAAAGTGCTCTAGCATGACGAGTTGGATGATCTCCTCCGGCATCACAAGGGCCACCCAGAACTAGCTCACCTCCCATCAAGCCATGTTCCCGGAGGAGATCACCCAGCTCGTCATGCTAGAGCACTTTTTCAATGTGCTCCCCAATGAGATGGCGACAACGCATTTGTATGTCAATCCATATCAACTTTCGATGCCATTGACTGCGCCTACCATGGTGACCACGGGTAACAGGGAATCAGGGTTTGATTCCGTACAGGGACCCTGACAAACGGCTACCACATGCAAGGAAGGCAGCAACGTGCAAATGACCCACTCCCGACATTGGAAGGTAGTGACGACAAATAACAATACAGAACTCTTTAGAGGAGACCCAGATATATCAGAGCTGCTGCAGAAAGTGAAGTCTCACCATGCTGCTGCTCGCCTGTCTGCGCTGCAGCGTAACTTCACCTCATGAGACTGTGCGAGCAGCAGCAGGCGATAGTGGAGTTTCAGATGCAGGCCGCAAATTTTTCTTTTTTAGTATGTCCCAATATTTTGGGGGCTACCCCAATTAAAATTAAAAAAATATATATATATATAAAAAACAGTGTTGGCTACCTCCTCCTCCTCCTGCACCGCTGCTTCCACCTACACTGCCACAGTCACCGCCTCCTCAACCTATAGGTCACTTAGTATAAACTATGTACACATTAGCAGAGGCTTGTCAAGGCCTTTTCTCCATGCATCAGGAGTTGAGCATTTCTCCATGCATCAGGACTGCAAGAAATGCACCACAGGCCGCAAATGTTTCTTTTTTTATATGTCCCAATATTTTGGGGGCTACCCCAATTAAAAAATAAAAATAAAATAAAAAAACAGTGTTGGCTACCTCCTCCACCTCCACCGCCACTTCCACCTTCACCTCCACTGTCCCCTCAACCTATGGGTCACATAGTATAAACTATGTACACAATAGCAGAGGCTTGTGAAGGCCTTTACTTCATGCATCAGGAGTTGAGCTCAGTTTGAACAATAAAAGAGGATACCCTGCACTCCAACCCTCTTTCAAATGGATAATTCTGGTGATCCTCCTGACAGCCATGCTTTAGATTTTGATTTATGTTCTTCCAAAGCTAAAATGAAAGCTTCCATCTAGTGCTATTTTATGGCTCAGCTGTATTTTAAGTGATTTCCCTGTCCACATTTGTTTGCAGGGCACGTGTCCTACTCTTACCCTCATTTTACTTCCTTCTGCGGCTCTCTAGCTGTTTCCAGGTGTTTTTTAGAGGCATTTTTTTGGCCAAAAGTTCGGGTCCCCATTGACTTCAATGGGGTTCGGGTTTGGGGTCAAGTTCGAGCCCGAACCCGGACTTTTTTTCAAAGTTCGGCCGAATCCGCCGGACCCGAACATCCAGGTGTCCGCTCAACTCTAACAACAAGCAGTTTATTTATAAAGTACAAGTTGTTACATAAAGGCAAGACAAACATGTAAAACTGTGTGTGGGCCATCTGGGAGATTACAATGACACAGGACTGGGACGGTATTTATGGGGTAAGCTGGACAAATAGTTAAATAGGGGAGAAAGCCCTTATGTGTATACTGTTGCAGTAGCAAAAGAAAGGCGTGCTTACTGTACAGCAGAGAAACTCACTTCAACTTCAACAAGAAACCACTTATTAGGGTATACCCTCATCTATGTATGGTGTAAAAGAAACCAGGGGCCACTGACACCCTCACGATATTAGTAGCAAATATCTGTGCTTTGTGGCTGGGTAGTGCTTTCTGCAGGGCTTGGTAAAGCTCTTTACCTCTATGTGCCAGGAGGTTCTACAGGAAAATGTGTAATAGTGGTTGGCCACACTGACCAGGGTTACTAAGTCAGATATATACAAAAACATATAAGAAGCACTCAAGTGTTAGGGGTTAATTCATTAATCATACTGTAATAAAGGTGCAGGGAGCTAAATGAGTAAAGACTTGTATCCCTTACAGGCTAACAAATACCACAAAAAGAAATAAACGCATAGCACACCCACAAAGTATTGCATAAAATATTTGTATTTATATAATGCATTGAAAAACACATACAAGTAGTAAAGTGCAAACATGCAGAGTATTCAACTTGCAAGTAACCACATATATTAGACAAATGAAGTACTCAATACCCTCACTCAAGTGTAACAACAGGTATACTGACCCGAGCTGGAGACTTTGAGATGGCTAATTGTATTTTAATCTGTAAAACAAGCACACAAGCTCTTTTAGTCCTGCCACATCAAATACAGCAATCCTTGGTAAACTGAACCAGTCCCTCACAACCTTGACCCTTTATTGGCCAAATTGGTTTGTGCTCCACATAGTTAACCCTAAAAGTTCCAATGTCCAGCTGGTGGTTATCATTGTGCCCCATTTGATTAACCTGTTAAATCCACATACCCATATGTTTGTACTAGGATGCTTTGAATAGTTGAACCTTTTCAGGCATGGAGGGTGATGAACAAGGGCTCCAAAGTCTCTGGATAAGAGAGATATAAAATATTAAACACTGGCATTGTGACTTGTAACTTTTAAAATTATCTCAACCAGGGGACACGTCCTGAGGAAAAAGTGATGGAGCTTACCCAAGATTTCCAACACCTTAAGATGGGTTAAATGCCCTGTATTTGTTGAGCACAGCACAAGTGAATTTGATGGCACTTGCACTGTGTTTACTGGTGTCTTGTCTCTGGTTTTCCCACAAGTGGGATATGAAAGAACAAATTAAACAGGGCTGGAGTATGCATAGAAGAGGCTGTTTGTGGTGAAGGATGTGCAAAGGGGTCTGTTTGTGGAGCACTATGTGTAGCTAAGGGCTTTTAAGTGTGTGTGTGTGTTAAGGGGCTGTAGATTGACCTATACACAGTCAGACTGTGTCCTCATACACACACTCTGTCCCATGAACACTCAAAGTGATCCATACACAAACAGACACACACACTGACCTATTCACACTAACACTGACCCATATAGACATTTACACACACATGTGACAAAATATTAACTGGCAGCCTTTTGGAGATTTTACTACGCAGTAAATGATCTAGCATTTTTGTTTGTTTTTGGTTTGGTAGAGACTGATAAAAGAGCTTTCAATTTGGAATGCATATTTAGACGTTATAATCATTCATATAAGATGTAAATGTATGCTAAGGTAAAGTGAAATCCTTTATAAACAAGACTGACCCATACACAGACTGACCTATACACACACAAACACACACAGACTGATAAATACAAACACACATAGACTGACCTATACACACTCACAGACTGACAAATGCCCACTAACAGATTGACCCATACACACCCATACTGATCCATAAACAAAGAACAACCTTTAAAAACACATCCATAGAAACACAGACTGACCCATCCTTACAAACACAGATTGGCCCATTCAAAAACACAAGCTGACCATACAAACACATACTGACCAATACAATCACACACATACTGACGCATACACGCTCAGACTGATCATATGGACATGGACACACTCACTACAGTGACAAAATATTAACTGAAAGCCATTTGGAGATATTATTAAAAAATAAATGATTTAGCATTTTTGTTTCATCTTGGTTTGATAGGGACTGATTATGGACTATGAACTCTAGACCTATGCATAATCATTAGCTATAGTGGGGGACCAAATCATGGTCTTAAATGTCAGGAAGTGTTTGAGGATGTCCAAAAGGCAAAGAGCAAGTTGCCATGTAAATGCTATTCTATAACTACTTATAGAGCTGTCCGCAAGTCTCATCATGACACACAGATTGACCCATACAAACACCCGGACTCACACATTCATACACACACAGACTTAGCATACGCACACACATACACAAACAGCTCTGCCCCATCCCTACACACAGACATATTCAACAGACTGACACAAAAACACACACAATACTGATCAATACAATCACACAGGCTGACTCATACACACAATCAAGAAGGGAAGGGTAGTGAATTATTACTGTCTTGTATCCTTTGTTTTTCAGTATACCCACTTTGTCTAGTTAGGACTCTGACTCCCTTTGCCAGTGTGTGTGATAGTATTCTTATTCATGATTTTTCAGTTCATATTCTATTAATATAGGCCTTAGTCTCCTTTCTTGGTAATGCAAGCTGTGACATTGGTATCTGGTGTCTAACAATAGACAATACAGGATTTTTCCTGCTTATGCTCTCTAGAAGTCTTTATACACTGTATGTAGTCTCTATGAGTATTTTTCAGCCAGCTAATTTTGCTGGAAGACAGCCAATAATGTGATTGTGATACTGTTTATCATGTAAGACACTACTGTGTTTTTGCTACACCGTGTCTGTTAGCCTGTTAGGCTCAAATACTTAAAGGACCACTAAATTCACCCAGTTCGTTTCATCTCAATGAAGTGGTCTGGGTGCAGCGGTCCTGTCATTTCTACATAGCAGAATTAAATAAACCTATAGTGCAGTAGGCAACCTTCAACACTCCAAATGCTGTGGACTACATATCACCTGTTGCATTTCCACTGTTATGGCTAGAAAAGCATTATAATATATATAGTCTACAACAACAACAATGAGAAAGGTTGTTTACCCTGGCTCTAGTGGCTCCCTTTTTGCCATTCACTATAGGCACTACCTCCTGCAAATCTGAGTGAAGCTCAGTAATGGAATGCTACTGGTAGCAGCATTTGATTGGACAAGTGCTGTGCTTTGCAGTACATACCTAGTTCCAATCCAATGCTTCTCTAGAGCAAAGGAATAAAGGTCATTGTGATGTCAAGTGTGCCAATCAGGTGCAAAACATCATTGAGTATTATTGAGACAATGGAAAAGACAATGGAAAAGACATTATTTAAATTTATTTTTCTCTATCACAACAAGTGAAGGATAGCATATATAAAGTCCCCAAAAAAGACTTATTAAAGGGACACTATCACCAGAACAACTACAGCTTAATGGATTTGTTCTAATGAGTAGAATCATTCCCTTCAGGCTTTTTGCAGTAAACATTGACTTTTCAGAGAAAATGCAGTGTTTACATTACAGCCTAGGCATACCTCCACTGGCCACTCCTCAGATGGCTACTAAAGTTGCTTCCTGGGATAGTGCTGCACAGTGTGACTGACATTTAGTGTCTCTACCTTCTGCATTGTCAGAGATATTAAGTAGGAAGGAAATACATATATAGTGTTGATAACAATAATACATGCATAATAGCTAAAATGCAATTTAGCTAATATGCCATGAGGTGCTAAAATGAAGAAACAATATGTTTTTCTCAAAGTATGACCCTGTCAGCTAAAAGAGCCAGACAGTGAATA